CTGTTTGGTTGACGGGCTGTGTTGTTGTTTTTGTATATCTTTTGGTCTCCTGGTTTATTTTTCTGTCCGTTGTTGAATTTTGTGAACTTTTGTGTAATTTTTGTGAATTGGTCATATATCTGGTGTTTTCTCTTGATGTGTTTGGTTTTCCTAATGGTAATATGTATTTTTATGAAATTCTTGGAACGTAGTCCCAATGGCCTGACCGGTGGTTTTTCACCTGTGTGTATTTGTTTTTTGTCAGTTGCCGGATGGCTGTCTTTAGATATACTGAGAGCATGACCTCAAGCACCTCAGATTTCATCGTTGTACCTTTCGTTCGGCTCTCTCTTGGTGTAACCAAGTAGTTATTCGCTCAATCAGTGTGAACAAGGTTGACTTTAGGCAAAATCCCTACGATTTTGCTTCGTGTGTGCGTGTGCCAACCCAGTCTGCTGCGAAATTGTCGGTAATCTGACGTCCTATTTGCATCGGTTATAGGAAAACTTGCGTCTTGGTGTGTGTGAAGCGCAATTTGGTCCGTTCTTTTCCCCTCTTTTTTTCCGTTTTTAACTGAGGACACGTATTTTTCTATTGTGAATTTTTTCCACCCATCGCGATTGTTCATGTTGAACTTGCATATTCTGGGGTCTTTCACCCAGGAATTCTTGGAGTAACCACACATCCACCACCACCACATCCAACTTAATAAAGCAGGGAGAAATCGAAAGAATTTGATTTCCAGATATCAACAGCATTTCAGAATTACAGCAAGTCTAATACGGTAGTGTAACACATCCGTAGCCTAGAAGCCTGCAGACATACTTCTGGAAGCATTATCGGAGAGAAGGTCCGGGAATCACGGAGAATGTTGATGTAATGTGCAAAATTCAATGCTCACACTGCGACAAATCCTACATGGAATGAGGTAATGGGACGCTGTCTACCATAATGAAGGACAGCTAATTTTCCATCGTTCGCGTGCACGATGATCGGGAAGGACAAGTTCGGCATACGGAATCAGTTCCGTAAACCAGCTCAAACAAGAACGGAAGAATCATGAATTTACTAAAAAAAATCTATTAACCAACGCATTGAATCGCCACAACATATTGACGTCTGAAAGAACGATCAATCTTAAAACCGCACAAAGACCTGAAAAAACTGATAAAATAGTAGAAGAACGCGATGTTTAAATGCGCCAATCCAGAGGCGCCAGAATGTGCAACTAAGCAGGACATGGAAAAACATTCGGAACAGTGGGCAGCGAAGAAATGAAAATTGCAACAGGTAAAACAAAGATGCCGTATGAACCGTCCTGATCTACGAGTTTGCCCTCTTTTCTCTATCAGTGTATAGCCAAGCTGCTTTTGGTCCAACAGGAATACCTGTTTAAACCGTAACAGACTTACTCCTCTCTAAATTCTCTAAATCAATGATAGACGAAATCGTCTCTGTCCCCGTAACTGGATTCGCTGACAGATTCGTTAGTGAGTGTCGACTTAGTCTGGGTTCATCAAGAAACCAGTAAAATCGGTCTCGTAATTAGTTATCTAATGTACTTTAAAATACACTACCCCTCATTTCGTTTCCGTGTAACGTGCTCTAACTGCGCTCCACAAACTGGTTAAAGTAATTATTTAAAATAAGACATAGGACAGCTGCGCACAGACACTGAAAATCATCTTCGGTGATCCGGTTACACTTCCAGAAAAAGATGTGCGATCTTGCTGACTCGAACTGATTTTCTGGTGAGTGTTCCGAACTATAAAATAAATATCCAGAATGGATGCTATTTTACAGGTACAAATGAAGCCAAACGTGTAAGCCGAGAATGCACTTGCATTCACATTTGGTTTTGTGACACGCTACTAAGGTGATTCAAAATGGTAAATGATCACTACTCACTCTAGCAAACCTATTCACTGACCGGCTGCAGCGATCTTATCAAACGATTCAACATATAATTTTGGATCATCTTTCCGGTAAATATTTCGACCATTCTGATCCAGGAAACTGACTTTTTTCGTTCCATCAAGCTGCAACTTAGATCAGTGAAAATGAGGTTAATTACGCGATGGGTGGATCATATTTAGCAGACGTTTCAGGCCTGTATGCTGCTCTGTTACACAAATCTTGTGTCCTCATGGTGCAAACGACCTCGATTGACACTCAAACAACGTGGTGTAGGACCTATCGACGCAGCAGGGAAGTATTTTTACGGCATATCTGTTGGCGAATGGGCATATTAAACTTAACCTGGATTGCAGAGATCGCCTAATGCCTGTCTTGGTACGTGGTAAGTATGTGATATCCCTCCGTCAATGAAGGGCCGAAATCCTTATCCCTGCAGTATCCGCCCTTATCAAGGTGAACGGACCAATTCTCAACAGGAGCCTATGTTGATCAGAGGAGCAGCTATTAGAAATACGATCGTAACATAACCCCAAGGTTTTTTTCATTTTCCAACTCCTATAGCCTTAGTGCAACTGTTTGGTCAATCAAGGAATGGGAATACACAATTTTTAACTCATTGTTACAGGTTCGATTCATGCTTGTCATCTAGTTCGAGATGTCCCAAGAGTCAATTCAAGCCATACACCTACAAATCCTTTTTTCTGTCTCGTCTTTGGCTCTTTGGTTGTTTGTGTTGGCATAGCCTATAAGCCAGGCTCGAGAAGTATTCCTTGTCTGTTGCCCAAGTAGTGCCTTGTGATTTAATATTAGTGTAACAAACGCTCCAGTGGTTCAGGTTGCGATCTCTATTTTGGCCTATCACAATTTAATTACGGCCTCCGACCGATACGTTATAACAAGACTATATTGCTTTACACACATTAGTATCGCTGGGTCAAAAGAATTGTCCTTGTAGCAAAACAGCATACACAGATAACTTCGTATAATCGTATAACATTCATTAGTATGTCAGGTTCCCACTGTTCAAAGGGTTGATACTCATTGAATGCTCGCTATACACCCCGGGAAAGCTGCCGATCCAGTCGTCTTCCTGAAATTGACCTCTTTTTTCTACATAAGGATAACTGGTATCCAGCATCTCGGCATTTTCGCAGTGCCCCCAGTCTGAGAGGTTCCAGATGGGTTTGGGTTGCAAATCCAAGAGAGGTCGAGGGTCTTTGTCTGGATTCACCCCGACATGCACCTTTGGATAGAGAGAATAGATTTTATACAGTTCGGTTAAATCGGTTCTAGGAAAAATGCACCTCCTCATTTCTTACTATAATCATATGTAGGAACTGCTAGTTATTATTTGCTAGATATTGTACAAGGGTGAGGTTTTTCGGTTAGACCAGATATGGAGTTCATAGGGATAGATGTTTTTCTGTACAGAAATGCACCAGTACTCCTCACTGGGCGGTTTTTTGGAGGGGGGCAAGTCTGAGTTACGGTTGTAAGAATCATGAAGGAATGCATTAGGATACATCCACGAATTTATGAGAAAGAAAAGTGTTCTTGATTTTGTAAGTCACTCTACTATTTTTCTCACGTGGCCAACCCCTGGATAAGCAATACGGCTCTAGTAGTGCTTGAAATCAAAACGGATACCTATGTCAATTAACTCAATTAGCTCAGCTTTCTCATTCCTGGAGCATTAGTTCGTCGATTTCATCCGACAGTGGATGGGCTACTAAAGCACAACGTACCTGCTTTATGTATTGTGGCCCACACACCATCAAGAATATTATAGTCCATCTCACGTAATGTACTCTCATATTGGGGTCCAGCGTGGGTCCAAATCAAACTCACCCGTTGTATGTGTTTAACAAAGTTGACCGAACTCTCAAACTCCAGGTTGCACGTTGAGCAGAGCTGTTTTCTTACGTGCGAACTGCGGACAGGAGGGTCGGTCGGTGTGCTAGGCAACCGAGACTGTGTGTACTTTCTGGTTCGTCTGTTAAAGTTGGGCAATCCAGCATCGATTCCACTTGCTGGTATGCTATCGGTTTCCGTACTGGTCCGACCCTCTCCGTCTGAGTTGCTTTCTCTCAGAGTACTGACTCGCATTGCTCGGCGCTCATACCGTCGTCTTGTTGTCAGCTGAGTTGGGGAGTATTGACTTCTGTTGCGAATGTACCGGCCACGACGTAACTGTCGAATGGAGTCATCAGGAGCTTCAACCGGCTCCGTCTTTCCTGGCTCTGGACTCGATTTCAAAACCCGAAGATCCAAAGCTTCGTCTTCACTTGGTTCCAACTGTTGGGGTGAGTCGTCTATATTGGATGCGTGCTGGAATACACACGAATTATAAACAAATCGACCAAAAACATTTGGTAGTAAGAAACAATTGATTGTTCAGCTGTTTTCTGCTTTTTTTTCCTCGCCAATTATCATAATCTCTGGTAGCATTACTCAGCATTACTTCTTCATCCCTTTCCTTTTCGGTATAAGCATCATTATGTCGACACCCTGTGCGATTAGTGGATCAAAAGCTCACTCACTGTCCTTGAGTCGACTTTTTCCGCTCTGAACCACAAAGGTATTGACTTTACTACGATTGAAGCAAAGTACAAATATTTTCTGCAAGGAAAAGTCAGACCATGTTAGAAGACTTCTAAGATCTTCACACCCGCTTCATTTTCTGCTATGTAATTTTGCCGATCTCGTGGTCTACTGGAAACACTACCTTGAGGTTGTCTGATTGTGTCTCATGGACAGTTAATGACACCGCTAAACGTCTACACCTGTTGGGATGAGAATGAACCGTAAATCATTAACTATCAGTCTAGCTGCTCATCTTGGTTCGTCCAGACTCCAACGAGAGACTATTAAACCGACTATACGGTTATTAGTCACCAAAAACCTTCATTGTCAAGGTAATCGGTGGAATTACTTTGGGCTACCAAGCCCCTTTTCAGTATACGGCATCAAGTATTGAACAGAAACCTTCATTGTCAAGGTAATCGGTGGAATTACTTTGGGCTACCAAGCCCCTTTTCAGTATACGGCATCAAGTATTGAAACAGAAACCGGGTGTGTTTAGACTTCGTCATTGATTGTGCTTCTTGAAAAGCAAGAATTTGGAATATTCTCGTTGTTTTCCGGGTAAATTGGCCGCAAAGCCAAGCAAAATGAATAAGCCTAACAAGATTTCTAAGTGCGGTTCGGAACGGTGTCTATTATACGACGAAGATAAAGCCTTAGGTTTAGCTCTAGGTCTTGGAACTTGAAATAACCTCAGTTGTAGGGTTTTTCTAAGGATTGCTGCTTGTAGCCCGTAAAAAGCATCATGACGGAAACCAATGCGTATGCTGTGGCTAATTTCATTCATGCATTCTTAATGTAAAGTGCGTGTTGTGTTGCGTTACGTGTGAAAAACAGACAGGTGAGTCATTGAATTCCGAATGCGCATCACTGACCGAAATACTTTATGTAGACGAAGTGGTCGAAAGGCGCTTCGACGCTTCTTAGCACTGACCGTTTATGCCTTTTCTATGCTTTACACCTTTTACCAGAACCTCCTTTACATTTCGCGCTACATACGCTTCTAATTTGTTGAACATTTCGTACCGTATTAGTTGGGCTGTTGGTCAGAGCCGCCGGCAGCTTACAAGTGTGAGGAAAATTCAACCATTTTGTTGAAGGAGCTAGAGCAATGTATGCAAATCTTGCTTGGTATGATGACAGGGTGTTCATTGTTCACCGTGCTGCTCCTGCTGATGCTTTATTGTCCGCGTCATTTTCAGGAAACCGACACTTGTCGCGGAGGCTTTCCTCAACTTGTTCACAGCTGATAACGTCTTGGATTGTTGACCTTAATGAACAAATATATCCCCATCTGTGACTTACCACCTATTTTCGATGAGAGATTCGACCAATTTCACACTGTCCCTATCGTTTGCTGGGTAACTCTACCTTGGTCACATTGTGGCTGTTCACTCTTCCAAAGGCTGCACTTCTTCTAACCAGAATTATGATTCTCAACCACCATTTCGGCAAGCTTTTCCCCATACATGCTGCATACTTAATGCTGATTTCTTTTACCACGTTTTTTTATTACTGTTTCTAACGCACATCCTTATCTTCAAATTTTATATTGCATTTTTACGACTTTGGAATGTCACATCCAAAGTTGCGAAACTTTTGGAGAAACCCAGGCATCGTTATACTGCCTCCTCTCATGATCCAAGTCAGTACACCTGATCATTTGTTTCAAATTCGGTTCCCAAGACGCCCGGCTTTACGAAACTATTCTCCGTCATTAGGGTTTGGTCCGGTAGTTGTGTGTCAGTCGACTTCATCACCATTTGGTCACCAGTTTTGTAGTACAACCTGCTCCTACCTCCCCTTTATTCAAGGTGCATATCTATCGTTCCATTTAGCATGATGTAGAGTCTGGTTTATCGGCCGAACTACTTGTTCGGTGATGCTCTCAATGTTAGCTGGATCAACCTCAGTAGTAACGAAATTATGCAGTAGAAGATCCAAAACAACCACACTTTATTTACAACCAGCTTTATGAAAATGTTTTTCATAAAACCTCTCATTATATTGTCTTCCCCTTGGGAACTTCACTCAGGCTTCCTGCATCTCTGTGGTTGTTTGTTCAGCAGTCGAAACATGGCTACAGCAGTGTTTACCGATTCAGTCACCGCGATGACCCCATAAGCCGAGGGACGTGTGTGCGAATGTGTATCATTAGGGTACAGATTGTAAGCTTACCACCTAACTGTAAGTAATAACAACGAATGGCTTGGAACATTCCCTAGTTATGTAGTCCATGCGATCGCTCGATTCTTGTTGGAATTGTCATGAAGCCTATTCGCGACTGAAACACTTTTGAAGAATGCTCAAATGAAGAGGGTCTGTGAGATTAGTACTTGAATGAATGACGCAACAGAAGGAGCAGAGTTTTCATCACTCTAGTCAGTTGCTTTCTCTCAGCGAGCTCCTTGCGAAATGCACTAGTGTTAGTCGAAAAGTGGAGAAATAGGAATTACACTCCCAACGTAACAGTATACCATATATTCTGAACAGTTTCTCCTGTATCCGGAGTGATTTCAGTGTTACCATGCATCAAAAATAAGATCTGCCTTCATGTCAAAAGACATCCCGCTAAAGTTGTCATACCATGCCACTGACTGATACGGCAGACTCCTGCCTCCCGAACACGAAGCAATGATCAGGATTTCTCCAAGATCTTGTGGTATGAGAATATTGAGGTTCTCTATAGGGAACTTTGAGTCGCGCGTAGGTTCGACGTTCTCAAATATCAAAATGGAGAACTAGGTTCGAAAGCCTACGGTAACATTTACACAAATGAGCAAAGCCATACGACAAACCTCAACTGTCTAGGGTCGTGGCGTAAAGTGCGTTAGATTCAATGAAGAGTACATCGGATTGGTGATTAAAGCCGTTATCACTTACTCGACCGGAAGATCCTAGTAGCATGGCTGGCGAATTTGTACATCCCGACTCAGGCATTCGGTATCTGAAAGAGTTTGCATGCGAATAATATATCATATTCATAACAGGCAGTTGGCTTAAGGCATGAAGGTTAACACCGAAAAACAGACGAGCGGGAGTACCTGTACTAGGAACGTTCTTTTGAAACTTCAAGACACAGTAAGCCTTTCTTTGTATGGATCACCTGCAGGACAAGGTCAACTTTGTTTGTTTTTGAGTGGAAGGTTCCTATTTGGATTCTCTACCTAATTCTTGGTCATGTGTACCAGGGCCTTGGAGTAACATGCTAAGGCTACTTGAGTTTGGAATCATTCCACCTCCCCTGCGCTAGGCCTCTCACCATGAAGAGTACATAGGGCCAGATTTTTTCATACAATATTCTTTGGCAGCCCACTATCGGTTACACCATTCTTGGGGCACATGATGTAGGCGTAGTCCTCAAATTTCTCCAATATCCAAGTGATCACTGCAATTCGTAGAATACACTCATTAGCATGTTCCGCCGGCCAAAACGAGGGACTTAACCGAATCCTTCGTTCGTGATATTCCTAAACTGAATGTGCTGCGCAAAGATCGCCTCATCTTTCCGTTGGCATGGTATTCAAGATTCGAGAGATATATTTTCTTGATGGGATTTACGTCCGGACTGTGAACACGCCGGTCTGCCGTCTTGCTGTGATGATTCCCGTTGATGGAGGAATCCTTCTGCCCAGATTATTATAGCCTTCTTTTTGAGAGAACACTTCTTGTTCCCAATAGCACTCCGACGATATCGGCTTAGTAACCTTATTGGTCAGTCGATCAGACAGGCGGCCTGCGACTAATTTTGTTTCGGTAACGACCACGGACGGCGTGTCCGTATCTCACTTGAACCAAATGCCAGCCATCTCGGGTCAACCTAGTCGTGGTCAAAGGTCGGTTTTGCTCAGAGTTCAACGGTGCTGTTTAAAACAGCCTTCTTGCGTGGAAAAAACGGAAACATCCATCTTCCGACATTTTCTATCTCAATAATGGTACAGTTAAGACTGATTGGATAAAATTCAGAAACCACTCTGTATGAAGCAAACAGCTCCAGGGCCGAAAGTCTTACTAATGGTCAGAAGACCAACCTCCTTCTAGGGTTTCTTTCTAGCTCAAGAAATAAATGTCACATAAAAAGGAGCCATTCTGTTAAGACCACCTGAACAGTAGAAAAAAGTAGAGATAGTCACAGCCATTGAAATAAATCTTGCGCGTCTGAAAAACCTTCCTCGTGTTTGAAGAGCGGTTTCCTCCGAGGATGGACCCTTCCCTGGTAGGGTGGGGAACATGTACTCACACAGACAAATTGCTCACTCATGTAATCAATGGAAGAGTACGTGTATACTGGATACATTTATGTGGTATTTTTTCGATAGGGCACGTGTTGAGTGGATCCAGCATATTTAAGGCAGGAACGCTTCTGAAAAAACAGTATATCTCGCTTTTTTCACTTTTAGCCAAAGCACCATGGTATCCAAAACTGGTTAAGGCTTGGGTTGATATACCATAATTTTACCTAGACCGGTCAATCCTTTTGACTTCCGGTCAGAAGCCGGTGGTTTGGCGGCAAGCTCTAAATGTAATCCATTTTCTTCTCATACTACATTAGTTGTCTATGATTTGGAACCTAATGGATTGTAAATGCTACGTGAGTTAGGTGAATCTGCCTCAAACTCACTTTTCCTGATCTTCCAGCTTGCAGCACAGCCTGTTCGGATCACTCATATCCACTGTGTCTTCTCGATCCTGACCTGGATTGTCGGGTATCTTCGCGGGAACTTCTTCACGCCACTTCTTCTGTGAAGGGTCGGCTGGAGGGCAATTTTCCTTCTGCATCGCATTTAAAATGGGCTCTTCCTCTCTGGAGAGCTTTTAGAAAGAAAACGGTTTGTATACTTTGAGCAAAGCTAATATCCGACTGAAAACTTTACGGCCCACACGAAGCTGTTGCGTGCCCACATGGTTAGTGAAACGATCACGTGTTTGATCAACAAGGACGAAAAGTGAACGAAAACAGCCTAGTTCAGCTGAAATTACCGAAATCAGGTAGCATTCCCCTAAGTTCGCGGACCGATGGACATCTCTTATTGAAACTAAATGAATGGTATGTACAACGCCGGTCAGAACTAGGCTACTAGGCTTCCGTACGACGATATACATCTATTTTTATTACATAAAAAGAACGCTTTATTTTTAGTGTCCAGAGGATCGATTGTATCTCCTCCTTCCGATTCAGGTTTTGGACACTATTTAGAAGGAAACACAGGGATCAATATGCTGTGTTCATTAGAGTTTGATACCTGTTGAACATCGGATATAGATATAAGCCTCGTTTGCATAAACAGCATGCCGAATCATGTGCGATGCCTCCGTAGGCTGAATGAACGGAATACTTTTCTACTTCTCTTGACTTAGATAACCTAACAGTATCCCAGCTCTCATGGAATTTCCAAAGCCGGAAGATTTTTTTACCTGCGATCGGTGATGAGTCATGCCAGTCACGTGTTCTGTCTAGCCGGTGCTTACACTGTGATCCTCATTGTTCTCGATACTGAATATTCAAGCTGTCTGGTGTGCAGCATGCCCTGCTATGCACAAGTAGTTGTAAAATCGCAGGATGTAATGGACAATTGCTGATCCTCATTGCATGAAGGGAAAGGGTACTTGAAAAGCCTGGCAGAATTCAAGTGGTTTATTCACCAGGAAAATGGAAGCTATCATGCAGAAAATAAATTCCATAAAACTTGCATGATTTCAGCAAAATTCCTACAGACAGGGTTAATGCTCCCTCTGAGCGTATCTATTCCCAGTTGCAGCATAACAAGAGTTCTGGTCAACAGTTTTTTTTTGAGTATGAAAATGCTATATTGTTCCATTTGACAAAGATTTCAATCCACCACAAGAGCCATTGATATAAGGATTACCAGCTTGAACTTTGTATTCGAAAGTGATTGGTAGAGGGTGACTGACAACATGGAGGAATAGGAAGACACGGCTTTCATAACCCATATTGGTCGTTAAACAACCACGAGTTGGCCTTTGAACAGTGGATTTTATTCTGAATGCGACTGTCTTACGTCTGAGGTTGAGATATCAAGAATGCGTCTTAGACATAAAAAAAAACAAGATTTCGGTAGACTGATTAGGCTACTCTCGTCCGATTCAGCGGTGGGTACCCCGCATTGTTAGTGTGCTAACACTTCTGGCTGTTGTCGTACATTGAATGGACGGACACTAGTAACAAATGACACCAAAGACATTGAAATGAATGAAATCGCAGCAGAGCATGCCAGGAACAGTTTTCAGCCAGTAAGGAGAAGTTGTGATGCTTGATTAAACTTTTGGAGTTTTAAACGGTCATATGAAAATAAACTCCGAGAATAGGTTCATCTTTGTAGTAGCTGCTTCGGTGTGTCAGAGAGTTTGCGCGTGTGCGTGTCCGTTCGTCGTTCCACCATCGATCTGATATGTGACGTGAGTGGCTGATTGGATGTGTCCGATTGGTTGGCTCGTGTGAGCGCTGTGGGTTGACTGGATATGTGACTCAGTTGTTTTTGCTTGCCTGCCACGAAAGCGGACCAGTTTGGCCGCGTGTACCCAATACACCCGTGTCCGTACTTACGCGTTCTTCTGACTTACTGTGAACTACAATAATCTTTGATGGTCAAAGTGACCTAGAAGGAAAGCGAAATACGATTAACAACCAATGCTGTTTCCTCTGCTGTTGACCACTCATAAAACGAAGATGGGTTAGCGGTGAAGTGTAGTTTGAATTGTCGTCCACAGCGTTACAGGA